TACACATACAAACACATACAGACAGGAAAGGAAAGCAGAAATAAGTATGTGGCCACAAGGGTAAGTGGACGCAGTCCCTAGATGAAAAAATCCCACTGCTCTCCCAGCATCCTAGAAGCCAAGAAGAGGAGGTGACCAGAATCCCCGGAAAGACAGCGTGGGTGGAATGGGAAGAGTTCGGAAGAACTGGGTACAAACCCAGAGAGCCTTTGGGCAGATCGGTTGACCTCCCTGTGTCTCAACTTCTTTCCCTCGGAAAATGGAGGAAGAACACCACTCAGGTGCATGGTGCACGGAGTCTTGTGCACACTGTGTGCATCCAGCACCCACACAATACCAGTTTTCCTTCCCTACTTTCCTTCTCATTATGAAAGCAGGAAGCAACCTAGTTTCTTGTGGGGTGGGGGAGGCAAAGCTTGCCTGGCCCTAAATTCTAAAAGAAACTTTTCATAAGAGACTCTGTAAGAAGACTTGAGCAGAGAGGGGCAATGTCCCATGTTATGGTTACCCCTGGTGTTAGAGCAAACCCGATGAGGGTTTGCCATGGCTGCCATCACTCTATCTGATCACATCCCAGGTACCTAGTGAAAGGAAGGATCTGCGGAGAAGCTACTTGAAGACCATTTAGCTGCATCGGTGTCTAGTGGTAGGGGTCCTGGTGAGCAGGTTTCAGGACGGCTGTCTGCAGACTGAGAAGGGGCGTGCAAGCATGTGACTGCTCACTTTGGACTCACAGCCTCTCCTGCCCATGGCTGAGGATGCAGGTGTGAGATCACTGTCCTTCCATTACAGAGCACACGGCCCCCGCCCTGCATGTCTTTTCCAAAAACAGCAAGGCAGCGATCTTGAAGCACCAGAAGTTTCCTCTTCTAATCTCTACAAATTAACCGCACATTCTCCATGACTGGCTCATCTTGGAGGCCAAGTTGGAAAGCCTTAACCGGATGGGACGGTTAGAAGAACGTCTGCCTAGTTTTAAAATAGGCCCGAGATAGGGAGGAAGGCAAAGCCGGGTCCCCATGAGAGAGACTGTACAGTCAACTTGGGACAAGGGGCTCTCAGCTTCTCACCATTTATCCAACAGACATTTCCTGAGAGCCTGCCACATGCCGGGCATGGAGGATGCAGAGAAATGAGATTTGGCACCATGTCCCCAGGAGACCAGCCTAGGGGGGAGGCACATGGTAACACCAACTGCCATTCCATGTGGTAAATCGGACTAGGGTGGCGCAAAGGTGGAGGTGATCAACTCTACCTGGGAAGGCCAGTGAAAACAGCCCTGGGTCCCAACAGCAAACAGCTGATCAGGCAGAGGACGCAGGGCCCAGATCCTCAAGGGCCTCGTACAAGTAGAGGTTCCATAGGACCAACCGAGACCGAGAGAAACCAAGTGACTTAGTGAAGCGCGTACAGACCTTATGGGATGGCCAGGCCTGGCTTCTTGACTCCCACAGTCCCGTTCTCTGCTCTCCTGCCTCCCACACGCAGTGAGTGCGAAAGGCCAAAGAAAGAAGCCCATTCCACACCCAGCGCTCAGAGAACCCAGAGCATCTTCACAGCAGAGCGATGGACTGTCCTAATCGCTTGGCAAGCCACTCCCTACAAGAGAAACAGCCCCTCCTAACTCACTGTGCTTCTCTCTGCAAAGGGAGAAGCCTGGGATTCTCCTCCGATCACAGCATACAGCCACTTAACAGAAGGCGAATTTAACAGGGACTGTTCTGGAGCCAGATAAATGAGGGTCCTGGAGGCAAGTCGGGGAGGGGGCTTCTACTCCATCCAGAGGCTGAAGGTGCACAGGGTGCTGACCCAGGGCTGGGGACCAGAGCTAAATCAGATTCCACCCCGTCCTCCATCCTCCAGGAGCTCACAATCCAGCAGGGGAGATAAGCCAGGCACAAAAGTAGCTATAAAATACGGCGGGCGGTGATAAGAGTCACACAAGAGACACAGATAAGGAGCAGTGGGAGTTCAGAGCAGAGATGACTCACGCTGGGGGCTTGGCCGTGGGGAGAGTCAGATGAAGGGAACATTTACTACATTCTCCCCAGGGGTGGGGGGGGGTCTAGCCTATCAGCCCCAGTGGCACCCAGGTGGGAGCTGGGGAAAGAGCTAGTAGTGGACCGAGAGAGATGCTCAAAGGAGGTCCCCTCTGAAGAAGCTCGATTCTGGGAGGGAGGAGGCGAGCAGGCGGGCCACTTTGGAGAACTGCCCCAGCACGTGTACCAGAGGTGGGGAGAGGAGTGTAGGATGAGGGACCTAGAATTTACGCAGGGGCAGCAATGCACTGAGAAAAGAGGCGCTAGATTTGCGTTGAAAGGACATTTGCCTAGCAAGCACACTCTTGTTTCCTCAGAACGTCCATTCCAGGTTGGGGGAGGGGGCACAAGTTTCCCTCTCCCCAAGTCACCCGGCAGCCCTGCCCTGGGTGAGAAAGGATGAGGAGGGTGGGGAGGAAGCCGGCTGCTCTGAGACACAGCCAGCACCTCAGGTTACAACAGGAAAGGGAGACTCACAGGATGGAGATGGGCCAGATTCTCCTCCAGTGAGGGGGCCCCCGCAACACTTCTTCTCAGCCCTGGCCCCCTTTCTGAGGGCCACACCTCATGCTCAGGCCCCGCACGCCCACCCAGCCAGGCCGGGACCGGAGGGCTGTCCAGCCGGAGGCGGTTAGACCAGAAGGCTGGACAGAGGGCACTGGCCACCACTTCCTCCCGGCCGCTTCCTCACGAGCGCGGGCCGGCTGGCGCAGGCCCAGCGCTGCACACACACCTGCCCCTTGGCCGCTGTGACACTTGTCACTGGGGGAGGGGAGTCCTCCACGCCTCAGCCGGAACCGACGGAAATTCGGGTATTAGCAGCGGGGGCCCCAGTCGAGGGCCAGCGCCTCCCCGGGGAGCGGGGCCGGGGG